TAATAATGCCATGTCTTTTGTCTTTTCTAGAACTCACAAATTCTGTAAACATTGATTGCTCAATGTTTAAAGTTCGCAACATTGTCCTGAAGAAGAAAGGAAGTTCAGGTATGTTAAAACTAGGAGAAAATCAAAAGGGCTCACACATTTCATATCTACAATCTGATTACAGAGTAGTCATACATGTATTTTCTTAAATAGAATATTTAATTGATATTACATGTACTATAATTGTGAAGGCCGACAAATTCAAATTTATATATTTATTTTAATTGGTAAATAGATGTATGATTTGTGATGTCTAGGATATCAATGTGTCTGAAAGTTTTTTTTTTTTTTTTAGCAGAGAAGGAGTCTAGTGTAACTGATGTTTATTCCTATGTGTTTGAGGTATTGAAAAAATGAAATCAGGCATTGATATCTTTATTATAAAAATGTTATTTATTCTATTTAACTAAAAAAAAAATAGTTCAGCCATGTTTCATAAATCATTTGTAATTGCATCTTGATTAAGGAAGCTCTAAACACTAATGAAAAATGCTTTTTAGACTTTGAGAAAAATATATCGTATAAAGGTGCACATATTCAGTGTATCTAGTTCATTTTCAACATAGGATGCCTGCCTTATTTCTGCAGAAAAAATGTTCAAAGACCATGAACTATTTGTGAACAGAAATCACTGTTGTTTACGTGCATCGGGAAAATTAATGGAAATAATGCATTCAATTACTTAATCTTGGTCTAACATAATATTAAGAATACTTTAGTTCATAAGAAATTGTAGCTTTAGATTCCCATTTATTCTATTTTTCATCTCATGGCAGATCACTCTAACTCAATAAAACTACCCTACAAATAGAACTCTTTAGTGTGCAGTGTTTAGAGCTTCCTTAAGAACTTCAGATTTTATTGTTCAATTGAGTCGGTACCTACCTGGTTTAAATGTTGAGAGTTTTTCTAATCAAAGTTTTTTCCATTATGTTGGTTGAATTTAGGTAGTAATACATATATGTGTACATGATGTAACATTTTAAACTATCTCTACAGAACTGACAAATTTTAAACAAACCTGGCACAAAGTTATAGTAAAGAGGATTAAACTTTAACATATAAAAATGCAGAGCCTCTTTTGGAGGTGAGGGCTTGGTTGGTGAAGTGATGACTGGACATAATAAACTTCAGAAGTTTTGTATTGAGTAGATTCAGATTTACTGAATATAAAAAAAGGTAAAAGTAGGGTTTATGGTCTTTCTCACTTGGCACTGGGTCCAAAGCCATTCACACTGTGTACTGCCCCATCTCTTCTGTAAATTATATATATATATATATATATATATATATATATATATATATATATATATATATATATATATATATATATATATATATATATATATATATAGAGGATCTCCCATCATTTGTGGTTAGAGATGATTTTTTCATCCAACTAGTTGTGTGTTTTTATCCCTAAGTCTTAGTGAGGGGATAAAACCACACAATGAGTTGGATAAAAAATCATATCTAACCACAAACCATGGGAGATTCTTTTTATCACATGTTTACATATATGGATATGAAAACAATATTCTGTGAGCTATGTCCACTGTATAAAGGAGTTTACAGGTGATAAAAATATATACATGTAGCCATGGCAGTTAGGATGATGGCCTCAGTATGATTTCAAAGTTTACAAGATAATTCTAAAAAAGAGTTTTTTGAAAGTGTCATATGAACAGCATGTCTACAGAATATCAAATGAATATGCAAGCATCTTTCAATGCATGTCTGGCTTTTGTTGATTTGTTGGAATTGTTCATCCACACCTTGTATAGACCTCTTGTTGTTTGCAGATGCCAGCCTATACTGAGTCCAGTTCACATACAGGACACAACACATCAAGACAATGTGCAGAAAACATTGGGTAAAGAACTTTATTTTTATTTTGGTAAAAAGGATCAGTTTCGTTTATTATTACAGTACCAACCAGACCCAACCTGACACCTAAGCAGTCCCAGAAAACAGTCCCCGGGACTGGTCTGGGACCGCTGTGGGACTGCTCTGGGACCGCTATGGGACTGATCTGGGACTGATGTGGGACTGCTCTAAAAAGCAGACCCAGCAGTCCCCGGGACTGCTTTCTGGGACTGCTTTGTTCACTCATGCGTGAAAGAGGTTCTGAGTGACATGTTAGCTCCGCCCCCTTGTGTGTTCTGAATTTGCAGTCTCCCTGTTGTTGTTTTGTTTACTTTCAGCAGAGTGGTGTTTAAGATAAAAAATAAAAGAACAAGGATTTCTTACAAAATTTTAACAAGTAGATATATATATATATATATATATATATATATACATGTAATTACTGTATGTCTTCAGGGGCTCTAAATTTACACAATTGTAGTCTAGAATTAATTTTTAAAAAAATGAAAGTAATTTAAAAGGGAAGTCAGGAGATGATTTTTATCCCTTAAGTTAAACTTTAATACAAGTGTTTGAAACAAAATTATCTAGACTTATTTAATTAATTAATGCTATCAAATTATGTACTCAAAGTTTGCATTGGCACTATTTAAAAAAAAAAACAAACATGTTATTACAGTAAGATATTCAGAGGGAAGTACTGTACTGGATTTTTTTTTTAATTGAACAAAGCTAAAACTATGTTAAAAAAAACGCATTCCATGCTATCCATGCTATTTTTTACCGCCTTCAAATAAAACCTAATAATTTTTATTAAATGACCATGAAATAAAATTATTCTACCATTCTTCCGTTATATAAACAATGTGAACAAGTATTTAGGGATTTATTTATGAATAAGTTTTTCATTTATAAACACGTTATTAAAAAGGTACATTTATTTAAAAAAATAAACATTGAAAATATAGGGAATTGTGTGTTGTCAACACTGGAGGTTTAAATCGCCTTTGGGCATGATTAGCAGAAAGTCAATGAATGGTATCAGTGTTACACATCGCTGAACACGCTGGTCAACAATGACACTATTTTCAATCTATGAACTGCAAAAAAATCTTTGTTTCAATAAATGTGCATAGATTTTTTTTCGGGATTAATTAATTTAAAACATAATCTAAGGGTTCCATTCTCGTGATTTACAGATGTACACTCGAACGTTTATATAATAAAACACTTAAAACTGAGTGTTATTGTTTTCTGTTGCATAGAGAATCTAATGATAATCAAATTAGCAAGCCAGTGAAAATTGTCATGACTGAAATATAATACTCGGCAAAATTTTACAAAGAATTTTTCAAAAGCCCCAGTACTTTCCAGTAAGAAAAAAGCATTCAGAGTATAGTATGGAATCGACCTTGCTCTATATAATTATAAAATCTATTTAAACTAATTCTGATAGAAAAAAAAGTAATTCAGGCCATCATTAAAAATATCTTTGTTTCCCCTAACCCGACCCAAAAATCTCAAGTTGGGTAGGTAGGTAGGCAAATAATTTTTTTTTTTGACAGCAGCTTTGAAAATACATTCTTAAAATGAAATGGAATGATACCTTTATAAATAAGTTAAGTACAAAAGAAAGCGATTTGTAAACAGCTAGAATGCCATACAAATGCCGGTAAGACTAATATTTAAGGTAAATTAATTTACGGCTACTATTCAATCGAAGTTGTGAAATATCTCATACCAGAGTAAATTTGTTGAAATTGAATACATCTGTTTAAAAAATTTTCGAGTATTTTTTTCATACATGTACTATCAGCTTCCAGTGCTTACACATGCAATGTTCTTTTTCAAGGGCTTCGAATTGTGCAGTGGTTCTAGAGCATTAATTTCGTTTTGGAGTCTCGAAGTAAGGAGCTATTTCTAAGTTGCAGGTTCAAATCCCAATGCAGGACATTGAGACCATAAAACCTTAGGTCCAGTGTCGCAGTAGATACTGGCACGAAAAAGATCTCTCACTGCTCAATGGCCGCATACAAGTCTAAATTTGGAGCCCTTCACCAGACAAATGTTTAAATAAATGTTGTTATCCCAATAATTATCAAAGGAATTCAAATCAAAGAAACAACCGATCTTCAAGGGCCTTATTAAAGAAAAACACACGGACGTCTCATAATTTCAAATCTATTTTGAAAAAGTATGTTGAGTATAATTAATTGAGACAATCCATATCTAAAAATGATAAAATGTCATAAACAATGTCAAAGTCATGAAGTTTAACCCATGAATAAAAGGCATGAAGAAAGGACGTTTGAATTCTATTCATTAGGATGAAATTTGCAGAATTATTTACAACTCTAATGGTCCTATATAGATGTAGTAAACATAGGAATATTGATGAACCGTTTACAAGATCAAAACTCAAATTGAATAAAATGCAGTGAAATTGATTGGTTTGTTCACAAGGTGGGCCCCTTGTCTGCTCATGAGGGGTATCATGAGGAGGGGCTATATGGGCCTAAGCACTTAATTTTAAGATAGGTTGGTAAATACAACCGAAACACGCTTAATATGTCATTGTATATTTTATTTTATTAAAAAAGTGTTTCAAAGAGTGTAGGATTCTTATATGCTAAAGGCATAAGGTTGAGATACGTCGTCTTTACTTTTAAAACATGAACTAACCCTCCGTAACCGAGACATGTTGTGGGCGCCATTTTGTTTCCAACAAACACTTGAAAATTATAAAACAAAATCAGTCGTTCTGATAAAAACGGATTTTGATGGAATTCTTTTTTATAAAAGTTGATAAACATAAAAAAAAAAATATTGGAATAATCTTATGAAAAAAACTTTCCAAGCGGCGCTTTTTAATTGGGTCGGTCGCGTTAGGGGAAACAAAGGTATTTTTTATTTTGGCCTCAAGTTTAATATTTAATAAAAATAAATAAATATGGAAACCAATATCAATCACAGAAAATAAAGAAATTGGTAAAAAATTAATATAACTTTGTTTAAATATTCATGTTATTAGTAGGAGTGAACACCTTCTTTGTTCAATATTTATTATTTGTTTCTATATGCGTACTGTGATTTCTTAACAGTTCAGAAATGACTGTCACACAAGAATTGTAAATATTTATTGTTCCTGCTCAGAAAGAAATGCATCATCAATTTCCATTGTCTTTTATAGTTAAATTGTTTATTGGTAATCTCATTTCTAAGTAAGCTCCGCCCATTAAATTAATAAACCCCGCCCACTGGGACTGCTGGGACTGCTTTCTGGGACCGCTGGGACTGCTTTTTGGGACCGCTGGGACTGCTGTGGGACTGCTATGGGACCGCTCTGGGACTGCTCTGGGACCGCTGTGGGACTGCTTTGGGACTGCTTTGTGTCAGGTTGGGTCTGGTTGGTACTGTATTTGTTGTACCCTGCTTTCACTGAAAGTGAGGGGTATTAATTTTGGTTTGTCCATCTGTTCGTCTAGCTTTCTGCCTCATTCTGTCTATGTAACACTCATTTCTGGACAAAATTTCAAAAAGATTTTGAGCTTTTGCAATTAAAGAGCTAGGTTCACTTTATGCATAAAATGGCCCTGTCCTTATATCAATCAGTCGACTATCACCCTCTGTCCTATTTCATATATCAAAATAAAATAGAGACTTAGTGCTTTCACTTCTTATAACAAAATTTCTTTTTGAGAATCCAGGTATTGGAAAACAGGCTTTGAGAAAATACATTGTTCTTGAATTTTGCAGAAAACATGCGTATCTGACTACCTTCAGCAAAGAATTAAAATATGAGCACAGCCCACGATCCAAAAATTAAAACACGTTTTGTGATCTTCAGAAACAGATCTTTCATTATGTAATTGCATATTTTGGATCAGGAGTTGTGCTCTATATAAAATATTGAAAAAATACCTCAACTTTTGGCCATTTCTAAGGAATTAACAGGATATGGGAAAAATGACGCATTTTATGACGTCATAATGCATTGACAAGAGAGAAAATTACGTCATGTTCAATAGGTACACGGTCACCAAGGGTCCAAGTTATAAATATGCATTTTCAACCAAAACTGAGCAGTTTCGATTTTTCAGAAATTCTCAGGGCCAAAAAAGGCCCTAAGTGGCTCTTGCTCTTTTACATTACAACTCCCCATTTCCTAAAGAAGATTCCTATCAATTTTGAGTTCAAAAGGTCAAGGTCAGAAATTCATACATTGCAAAAAATTGTTTCCAGATGATAACTTTATTTTTCTTAGAACTTTTTCAATTAATGTTATATCATAACTGCCAATGACTTAAAGAAGACCCCTATTGATTTTGAGGTCCAAAGGTCAAGGTCAAATATTTTTATTGAGATTTTGCAATGAAATTTTGTAATTTAAGTCAATATGATTAAAAGAAAACTCCTATGGATTATGAGGTCAAAAGGTCAAAGGCCAAGGTCAGAAATTCATATATTGCATACAGTGTAGCCTCATTTATTTGGATGTTTTGGTTCCCACTCAGAATCATCCGGATTAGTGAAGCATCTATATATCTGAATTGCCTTGATTTCAGCTATATGTCTTATTGTTTATTAAATACTTTAATTAATATACATTGGCACTATTACTTAACACTTGTTTATACAATTGTTTATTAAATTAAAAAAAACCCAGTGCATTGGATGTAAGACTGTTTATAATAGCCATATGAATCATTTCAGCTAGCCAGTTGACTGAACTCCCCTAAGTCAACTCTCTGGTATAGCTGGTAACAGGTCCAGGTAATTGTCTTTTAAAAACAAACAGCCAGACCATTGTTTTTACAACAAATAACACCCAGCTCAGTAAACTTGATGAAAGTTGACAAACCAATTAAAAATCACTGTCCGGATAAATGAACCAAAATGTAACATAAAAATGCATTTTTGGTAAAAGAAGACCATATGGATCCAGAACTTGGAATTCCAGATAAATGAGACAAAATAATGTTTAAAAATTTTTTCCCAAGAAAAGTTGTCTGGAAGCTGAATTATCCGGATATCTGGTGTCCAGATATCTGAAGGTCCACTTTTCATAGTTTTGAGATGATAACTCAGATCTCTGTAAACTTTTGCAATGAATTTACTTAAGTCATGAATTTCTCTAACTTAAAAATAAGATTCCTATTGACTTTGAGGCCAAAAGCTGAAAGGTCAAGGTCAATCTTGTTTTTCTTTTTCCATCTGCACTTTTTCAGATCTTTCTTTTAACCTTACATGGGAGACACAAATTCCCTGAATTAGCTTGTTTTAATTAAAAATGTCAAAATTTTAACCTGAAAATGAAGAACATTTAAAGATCATTTATTGTAGGTTTTATCATAAGGATGAAGCTAGGGCTGTACCTGGTGCAAAGGTTTGTGTTCTTGAAATGATGAGGCACTAAATAATTTAATCCCATTTTTTGAAAGTTTTATTTATATGCATTGAGTAACTAAGAAATGAAGAGAAAATAATAAATATTTGAACATATAAACTGAAAATTCATTTTTTTGGGGTTCTTTGATATGAAATTTTCACCACACATACCAAGTATCCTGTATTGTGACATCATAATGTTATAAGCTATTGAAGGTTTTGTTTCATCCTCTGTTCCATTTGTTTCATTCCAGTCTGTTGATAGACAAAGAAGAGATGCCCTACTTGGTAGGTTGAATTACATGAAGTTCTCTAGAGAAAAGAAAACAACAATTGTGCAGTACAAATTAATGCTTCAGTAAAGTTATGCCCTGAAGGATGCAAATTTAGGAGGGGAGGGGGGGCTGTAGTTAAATAATTCTACATGTTTTTTGTATTCACATTTTATTAGGAAAGGGGAACTGGAAGGCCCCATTCTTAAATGCTTTAAGTGTATATGAAGTACTATTCAACAAAGTTCAACACATTTACTATCAGAAATACAGTCAAACATTCATATCTGGAGAATGGCAGACTTTGAAATAACTGAGATTTTGAGATACAAGAACATGTATCAAGATTGGAATTTTAGGGTTGGGACTCTTGATTCACAACATATCCTTAGTATTTGACAAATACTTGATACTTGACATATCCATTGTATTCATGTCAGTGTTCAAGACTGTAGCTGTACAAGCAAGCCTTAAGTGTATGTTGTTTGATTGATTTTTTTTTCATGTTTTAGTGATTGAATGTCCCAGTGAGGATTATTTAACAAGTATAATAAAAAACTGTCGGTTTTATGAATACCAGAAGGGTGGCAAGGTGCATGCCTGTTTGGTGGTTCATATGTCTACCAGCCAAATCCTGAATAGTAACAGGTACCGCAGATTTATGGAAAGGTAAGCCTAGCTTAACTAGCTTAATGGCATCCAGGTAGAAGTTTTTGTTTGAGAAATTGCATTTGAATACAGCCTTGTTGGCAGTGAATGCATCTCTTTGAGATGACCTTGTTGAATTTGAATCAACATTTTTTCCCCTCAAGATTTGGTGAGGAGACACAACACTTACTTCTTCATGAGGAATGCCAGAACAATGTATCTCCAATGGTGTACAATATCAACAGAGTGTTGAACCATATTAATAAAGACATTTTTCCAAAATTGAGAGATGGAGAGCTGAAGGAACAAGATTTCTCACAGAAGGTGTTAAATGCTGCCAACTTCATGGAGTATGTGTATCATGCTGGCAACTCTTCACTAAGGTTTGTTCTTACACTGGTCTTCCTCTAAAGATATTTTACAGAGCAAGGCATTTCAGAGTTCATCAACTTTTTACATTCAAATAATTTAAATTCTGCCTACTGATAATGTGTCCTAGATAAATGTACATGTAATTGCCATTTCCACTGATATTTTTTTTCATTTTACTACTTGAAATAGTAAATTCAAGATCCTTTTTTTCATCTTGCCAACTTAAATTTACATATACTAAGGAATGCTTTGGTTTTTTTTACACTTCTAATCTTCGGCTTTGTTGCTCATGTGCCTAGTGCTAGTAAATGACTTTACAGAGAGTATGAACAAAAAAACTAAGCATTTCATTAATTTTTTAGTGTACAGTTCAGCTTTTTTTTTTGAAAATTAATGGTATCACAGGCAACAGTAAAAATTGTGAGATTCACTTTATTTTATTAAGAGTGATAGAGTGTACCATGTATTTCTTGTTTCCTGTTTTCAGGATGAATATAGAAATGCAAAAATATGATCGAAACTGGGGAGATCATCTGATGAAAAATGTTTCAGATCTTGATGAAAAAGTACAGAGATTAGAGGCACTGTATCAACAAACTGACATTGGTAATACAGCATTTCATCATACAGCAACAAGCTGATACTGGTCATATAACATTTCACTTCATCATATAGCAACTAACTGACACTGGTAATATAACATTTCACTTCATCATACAGCAACAAGCTGACACTGGTAATAGAACATTTCACTTCATCATATAGCAACAAGCTGACACTGGTAATATAACATTTCACTTCATCATACAGCAACAAGCTGACACTGGTAATATAACATTTCACTTCATCATATAGCAACTAACTGACACTGGTAATATAACATTTCACTTCATCATACAGCAACAAGCCGACACTGGTTATATAACATTTCACTTCATCATATAGCAACAAACTGACACTGGTAATATAACATTTCACTTCATCATACAGCAACAAGCCGACACTGGTTATATAACATTTCACTTCATCATATAGCAACAAGTCTGCACTAGTTATATAACATTTCACTTCATCATACAGCAACAAGCCGACACTGGTTATATAACATTTCACTTAATCATATAGCAACAAGCTGACACTGTTTATATAACATTTCACTTCATCATATAGCAACAAGCTGATACAGGTTATATAACATCACACTTCATCATACAGCAACAAGCTGATACTGGTAATATAACATTTCACTTCATCATACAGCAACAAGCTGACACTGGTAATATAACATTTCACTTCATCATACAGCAACAAACTGACACTAGTTATATAACATTTCACTTCATCATACAGCAACAAACTGACACTGGTAATATAACATTTCACTTCATCATACAGCAACAAGCTGGCACTGGTAATATAACATTTCACTTCATCATACAGCAACAAGCTGGCACTGGTAATATAACATTTCATATCATCATAAAGTTTGTGCACTTGAGGCTCAGAGATATTAAGATTCAAATCTTACAATTGGAGTTTCAACATCTGACAGACAGTCAATTTGTTTTCAGTTACATGCATTTTCAAAATAACTGAAAAAATTTGTTACACAAAAGTACATCTACAGTGTATATAAAGAGAGCATATTTATAATAAGTATATTAGCCAATATTTCATCAGCTTTTCATGAGTACAGTAAAATGGGCTTGTTCCCAATAAGCATGTTTTACTTAAACTGGTTCAAGAACAATAAATATTATTGTGTGAGTGTTTTTACACTTAGAATTAAAAAAAAAAAATGAAGTTATTTTCTTTTATCATTTAAAAAATTGATTCTTGGAGCTGAACTGTGAAAGATAAGAATATCATGGACAGGAGATGTTTCATTTACAGTACACCACTGATTTAAATATTTTGATAATTCCTGAACTGGCCAAACCCACAAAGCATTAACTTTATACCAGTTTACTTACAATATTTTGTGTTGTAGATCCTGAATCCTATCCCCAAATTATCTTTCTCGGAACTTCTGGTGCCACCATTGTGAAAGGCAGAAATCAAAGTTGTATCCTAGTAAAAATTGAGTAAGAATTTTTTTTTATGCTTTTGAAAGTGACAGCATGCACTACACTGGCTATTATTGCTATATCATTAAACATTTTAAAATTTAAAGGAATCTCTGTTGATTCCAGCCACAGAATGGTAGAGCATACTGTTTGAGATTATTTTTTTTATCCAGGCAGTGCCTTTTGACTTGCATGTATTTGTGTTATTGTTGATTACAGTAAGGATAGCTCTATTATCATGGATTGTGGGTCCGGATCCTATAATCAGATGGTAAACTTCTTCGATAAGGACATAGAAAAGGAGTTGGCCAAAGTCAAAATGATCTTCATTTCTCACGTACATTTGGATCATCATTTAGTAAGAACATTTCAATTTGATAATATCTTTAAAATAAAAATTGTTCTAGCTATAGATCCTTTGAACCAGGTACATGATTGTATTACTGTAAAATCACATATTTTCAAGGGGTCAAATTTTCATAGTTTGAGAAAAAAATATTGGTTCAAAGATATTTGATTTTGTGGTAAATAAAGTGCTGAGTTGTATATTTGAAATGATACAGTTTATGGAGGACATAAATTCATGGGTCTTCTCATTCCTCATACGAAAACATTGAAAATTAAACCCCCAAGAAAACTCGTGATTTTACAGGATTCTTCCTGATGTGGTGTGAAATCAAGTTTGTTTAAAGTTATGATGTTTCCTTGAGTCAGAGTGGGCAAGAAAGGGTCAAAATGTCTAATTAGGGAAATTTTATAAAATATCCTTCCAGATAACCCGTCAAGTTAATGTGGTTTAAAGTCTTAGACAGTAAAATCTTTCAGAAACTTAAGAGCAACATGAATACGCATTGTCAAATAAACTTGTAGGCCTATGTACATGTAGAGTTACAGTATGGTAGAAATTTTTCCAAGAATTACAAATTTAGTATGTTTAAGTAACATATTATTTTTCTTTTATTTATATGCTGCATTTTCATATACAGGTTCCTGACTACCTGTACATGAATATTCACATTTATTTCTCTGACAGTCAGTTAATGCCTAGTGAGCATTTATGATGTTCAATATTCAGTGTACATGTATGATATTAGAGTAAAATGTCTAGGTCATGACATCAGTTTAATTATAGGCTTTACCGTTTGTGCTGAAAAAGTGTTATGAAGCAAGACAAGCCTATGGATTAGGAAATCATCCATTGTATCTACTGGCCTGTAGGAAGCTGCAATCCATCTACCTCCATTCTATACCAGAGCTCTACTATCTGCAGGACTATTACACGTAACTATGTCAAGATTCTCTTTATGTTTACGTAATCTTAAGCTGTCAAGTATTGTTCCTACTCTCAGTTGGGTCTGTAGGGTATTCTTGCCTAAAAAAGGAAAAAGAGGAAAAATTAAATATTAAATGAAAAAAAGCAATTTAAAAATTTAAATCTTGCTATATGTACATGTACATTTACATGTTTTAATATTCATCAAGAAATTACTGTACAGTGGAGCCTCATTTATCCGGACGCTTTGGTTCCCCGTCATTTTGTCCAGATATGTGAAGCGTCTGGATACCTGAATTACCTTGATTTTAGTTACATGGCCTTTGCAAAAGTAAAGCTAAGAACCTTGATTTTAGTTACATGGCCTTTGCAAAAGTAAAGCTAAGAATGCTGCTTTATATCATTAAGTTTTATTGTTTAAATACTTTAATATACGTTAGTACTACTCAATACTTGTTTAAATAAAATAAAAAAGTAAATTGTCATTGGATGACAGGCCCGTAGGAAGCAATTTCAGTTGGGGGGGGGGGGGGCACACCCATACATTTTCAGTTGAGGGGGCACTATCAACTACCAAAATTTCCTTGACAAGCAAAAAAAAAAAAGAAAAAAAAAAGGTCATCAGAGGTTTTTATTGAGGGGGCACAAGTATATACATGTAGTATGTATGTTTTCTATAGTACTCTATATATCGGCAAAATTATTGAGGGGGGGCACGGCCCAATCCCCCCCCCCCATTCCTACGGCCATGGATGAAACGTTATTTATGTGAAAACATTAATTATTTCTACTTCCCAGTGTCTTATAAATCAACTTCTCCCAACCAAGAGTCTGTAGAGCTGGTAGAGAAATTTTTTTTTTGATATCTCTATTCTTATTTGATTTGAACGCCCATCAATGTTAAATGTGAAATTAACTGCACATGTATACGTACGCTATTCATAATCATCCAAAGCAGGATCGTATTAACTATTTTTAATAATGAAATGATTTTATAAATGTCATCAAATCACAATCCGTGTTGCGCACAAAGTATTGTGCATAAAAAGTACCCCTGATGTCATGTCTATAAATAGCAGTATATAAAACCATGTTATGACTGTATTCTAACAGTAAAAGAAATATATTTGCCAACTACAAAAAAATTATGGACATAAATAAAAAGCATTTCCCTTAATTAATACGTATCAAATACATGTTAGAGAAGCGAGAGTCTCATGCGTACCCATCAGCCTATAATTAACCTTGCTGCAAGCCATTGATAACAGGTCACAGGTGATCATTTTTTTTTAAACAAACGGCCAGGCCAGTGTTTTTACAACAATTAACACTCAGATCTAGAAATTTGAGTAGAGTTGATGACAGACCAATAAAAAAATTACCGTCCGGATAAGTGAACCAAAATATAACGTAAAAATTCATTTTGTGGTGAAAAAAGACCGTCCGGATACGGAACGCGAAATTCCGGTTAAACGAGACAAAATAACGTTAAAAAATTCTGTTCCAATGAAATATCGTCCGGAAACTGAAGCGTCCGGATATCTGGCGTCCGGATATCTGAGGGTCCACTGTATATACTCACCTATAAGTCGTTTTTTTGGGAGTTAAACTTTGGTCCAAAATTCTTTATCTGACTTATATGCGAGTTATAAAAAGATTGCTATTTTTGCGGGTCAATCTCTCCAATTTAAGCTTAAAAAATACAACCGACTTATAGGCGGACCGACTTATAGGCGAGTATATACGGTAACATGCATAATAATTTATGACAGTTACATTGGTACGTGTATTAGTAATTCATAAATAAAGTATTTATGAAATGTTTCCTTTTTCTTTCATTAGGTTTGTTGACTATTACCGAGCTGAGAATTATGAACCTATCATGAAAGTTTTAGGACTAAAATATGTAAGTATTTTTAAAATGTTTACATTCACATTGATACATGCCTTAAGACATGCAATTTGATTGGTTGAAAAAAATGTAAGCAAATCTATGGTTGGTCAAGAGGGAAAACCCAAATAAACCTCTCAGAACTTCATATTGAGGTAAATTCTCTCTGAGGTACACCTCAGGAAAGGGAGTCTAGACCAATTAGAGAGCATCAAATTCCTGATCATTTAATATACAAATTGTACTCCAGGTTCTTTGCCATGATGCTATTAGTGGTTTACTGATAAATTTTTCAGCACAACCTACTAACAGTCTTTTGATACATAGACTTAGAGAATAATACCGTTTTCCATATTACAGCCTGTGTCAGCTTGAGACACAAATATCAGCCCTAGGGCTGATATAGGATGTGGTATGGAAAAGGGTACGTATTATTATATTTATTACATATTTAGTGATAAAATACAGCACACATCTACATAAACAAATAAAAAAAAATATTAACTTTTGAATGAGAGAAGATTATCTTTTATATTTGGCATGTGTATTACCCATTTCAAGAGTCAAGATCTTTCCAAAATAAAGTTTTTTACATTGGTAATAACTTTTGAATGTGAGAAGATAGGGCTTTTATATTTTACATGTACATTACCAATGAAAACATCTTTCAGAAAGATATACAAGTATCATTTTTGTCTTCATGACATTGACCTAGAAGTTTACTTACCAGTATCAAATATTTTAACTTTGGCCATAACTTTTGCTCCAGAAGACACGGGGCTTTCGTATTTTTTCACATGTGCATTACTTTTGACAAGACCTTTCAGATTGTTTTATGATATTTGACCTCTTGACCTTCATCATGAAGATTGATGCAGTTTTGAGAAGCTTCAATCTTTGCCATAACTTTTATTAATTCAAAAATTTATGGTTTTTTTTGGTGATGAACACACAAGACAGGAACACAAAACAGTTACAAAAGACCATAAGTAATTGCATCCCAACCACTAAGACACCAAAAGCAAGGAACCACAATCCTTTAAATTTGCTTGTTTTCATCTGATTTTATAGATGAGGTTTGATGATGTGATTCACTGCCCATTTTCCTGTGGTATCAGCATCAAACATAAGAAAGGATGGAGTCTGGCTTACACAGGAGATGTTTATGAACTCTCAGAGACTTTTATAAACAATGGTCAGGATTTTTCTTTATTAGATGTCCACAACTCTTTTATGAAGAGGTTTTAACATGAAACTGCCACTTTCTTGTCTATTTAGAATCAGATCAGAATAATTTCCATTATAGCTAAGAACTGCAGTATTTTAATTCATGAAGCGGCTTATGAAGACCAACATGTAAGGAAGAGACACACAAATCAACACAGGTGAGCACGAAAATATCTCCCCCCCCCCCCCACCAAATAAGTATAGGTGAATGCACAGTTATCTGCATACAAATCAACATTATTAAGTGCACACTTATCTGGACACTAATTAACACAAGTGAACACAAGATTATCAGCACAGAAATCTGCACAGTTAAGTGCTCAGTTACTTGCAACAAGTCAACACAGGTGAGTGCACACAAATCAAAACAGCACAATGTTGTCTGCACAAAATCAGCATGGTTTAGTGCATAGTTATCTGCACACAAATCAACACAGGTGAGTGCACAGTTATCTGTAAATAAAACAACACAGGTGAGTGCACAGTTACCTTTATATAGTTCAACAGAGATGATTGTACAATTATTTTTAAACAATACAACACAGGAGAATGTAAATTACCTGCATACATAAAATTTGTAAATGATAATGTTAATGATATAGGTTAAAATTATTCCTGAGCAAGTTTGTGCTCTATAAAAACTAAATGGTTCCATTTTTCCCACTTTTTATGCCCCCTGCAATAGAAAATTTGGGGGCATATAGTTTTTGCTCTGTCCTTCCATCTGTTTGTCTGCAAAAATGTTAACCTTTGCCATAACTTTTGATTGGTTAAAGCTATGGCTTTCATATTTTGCTTGCGTATTCCTTGTGACAAGACCTTTCTTTAGGTACCAACATATTTGACCTCTTGACCTTGGAGTTTGACCTACTTTTGCAAAATTTTACCAAACTTTGATGTTGGAAAAAAATTTTGAATGGTTGGTGAGAGGGCTTTCATACTGCACATGTCTACTCCTTGTGACAAGACCTTTTCTTGGGTAAATTTTTTTGATCTTTTGACCTTGCACTTTGAGTTTGATCTACTTATGAGAAACTTTAACCGTGGCCTTAACTTCTGAACGGTTGGTGCTAGGGCTTTCATATTTCACTTGTGTATTCCTTGTGACATTTCCTTGGAGACCAACAACTTTGACCTTTTGACCTTGATGTAGTTTGACCTGATTTTGAAAACTTTTAACCTTGGGGATAACTTTTGAATGGTTGGTGAGAGGGCTTCAAGCATTACACGTATATTCCTTATGACAAAACCCTTCCCTTGAGTATGAATATTTTTTATCTTGACCATGGAAATTGACCTTCTTTTGAAAAACTTTAACCTTGGTCATAACTTTTCTATGGTTGGTACTAGGGCTTTCATACATCACGTGTGTATTCCTTGTGAAACCCCTCTGGGTATGAATATTTTTGACCTTGACTGTGGAGATTGACCTTCTTTTGAAAAACTTTAACCTTGGCCATAACTTTAATAGGTTGGAGCTGGGGCTTTCATATTTCACACGTATATTCTTTGAAACTAGACTTTTCTTGGGTATTACTAATTTTAACCTCTTTACCTTGACCTTGGAGTTTGTCAGTTTCTGATCCATATCCTTCATGTACAAAAGGGCTATCAAAAGCTGGGGTTTTCGATGTTTTGATACTGGTTTTTCCTAAAAATTGGTGGTAATTTAAAAATACTGCATCTGAATGTTGCATATAGCAAAAAGGAAATTGGGCAACTGGAAACAGGTGCAACACAGTCTACACTTGTGAGAGATTTTATTTTTGCACAAAGCACCATTTCTAACCTAGCTATGAAACAGATACCAACAGCATGGTACAACAAATGATCTCCAAAAATATGGAAGATCACTTGTTACATCAGCAGCATAGGGTAGCTTCAGTGGTTTGCATAATTTTTGTCAATGTTTCACAATGACGTTGTCTACAGCATTAGCTAACCCTGAAGTGCACAGAATATCTAATAAGACCATTTGCAAATGAATATGGGATGCTGGAATTATCACCAGAGGACTTATTCATGCCATTGTTCTGACCCCACAACACCACAAATATCAAATGTCTCAGACCGACAGAGTAGGACTACTGAATAGTTTGGTTTAGATACTAGTCCAAAATGTATATTGCAAAGCCTGATATAAGGGTAAGAGTGCTTAATGAGGTTCGCTCCTGAGCTTTGAGCAGATTTTATTTTAACCTATATTTAAAAAAATCTGCGTAATGTTTTAATTCTTACAATAAATTTGGATTCTACAATGCCAAATAAACTATATTCAGTTAAAACTCCATGATTAAATTCCATACCAAAAGCATTAACTGAGGAACTATATTTTGTGGCGGAAGGTTTTTTAGAAGAAAATGATCAGTTTTTCTCTTTCGAAGTATTTAAAGTATGTTAAGTTTGGATTCCTATTTTTACATGCAGTCTGCACACAGAATTATTTTGAGCAGTGAACTGTTTTATACTGGTCCTAAATTATATATTTAATAAACTGTCATGAATTCAATCATCATATTTGATAAATAAATCAAATATGTTGTGAAAATCAAGAAAAAAAAATAGCCCTAATTTAAGCTCGAAATTAGCACTATTTTAGTAATATCTAAAAATTAACATCACAGACCCCCACTTTTAACTTTCTTTTCTGAATATACAAGATACTTTTAACCATTCTTCTTAAATTCAGTAAAATGTCATTACTTTTAAATGAGTTTTTTGCTTGTTAAATTTGTAATGCTAGCAAAATGAAATTATTTGAGTGCAAAAAGGTCAAATAATTGAACCTGCGGAGTAATTTAAAAAAATTTTTCGTTGTCCAAAATTTTAATGGGTCTATTCAAGATGAAATAAAACCGTGTTTGTTCCCATAACTTATTTGAATAAAAAATATCGGAGGAAAAAATTAAAAAACTGATTTATGTGTAAGACGTTTTTACAGTGCAAAAAGGTCAAACTAAATGCTCTGTAGCGCCAAAGGAAGCGCATTGACCCCAATTTTTTGTTTTGATTTTTAATTAAGCTATGTGTATAAATTCTAAAAATATACTTCATAAAAAATTCTCATTACTTTTGATGTCAGGATCTAACCTCCTTAAGCTTTGTAATGAATGTTTTAAAAAAACTGCCTCCGGGAGGTTGATAGATTTGGTGGTGATACTGTAATGATATGGAAAATGGTATGTACAAGTGGGACTGATTTGGTTCATATTCAAAGGACTTTGACAGCAAAACGGTACTTGAACAATGTCCTACCTGCTCATGTCTCTCCAATATTGCAGCATCCTGGAGCTGTATTTCAATCTGACAATACACAGTCACATACGGCCCCTTTGACAAGCGCATTTTTGCAATGTTACAGTATCCTGTTCTGTCTTGGCCATCTAGATCGCTAGATTAAAACCCCATCAATTGAGTGCCCATTGGACAAAATGGATAGGCATATCTGCCAAAGACAATCACATCCCCAGACTCTGCAACAGCTGATTAAAGCTCTAAATTTAGAGTAGGATAGCATTCCCATACAGTTTTATACACTCATTTGTGTCCATTGGGATGACATTTTAGGCTATCATTGGTGTCTGTGGGGGGCATACCAGATATTGATCTTTAATGACCTTGAACTGTCTATGATTGTAAAATTCTTGAGTATTTATGACATTTTGATTGTAGACCTATTATTTAACACATTTCTTTATTATCAATACATCATGCTACTAAATATTCTTAAAGTTCAATGTGACACTAAAATTTTACTATGCATTTCTTTTTTTTAAAGAGTATATGTCAATTGTGCACATTTCATGAGATTTTCAAAATTTTACAGGGATATGCCTTTACTGTATATACATGTATACTGTAAACCAACCATTATTTGTGTCGTCTTTTATTCGTGATTCTCCAGTTTGAAATCAATCTGAGACCGTTATTTTTCGCGACTGAGGAAACATTCTCTATAAACACAAAGCAAAATAAAAGGTTCATGGTGATTAATATTTGCAGTATAAAGTAGGTCGCAAAACTTGCGGATATTTCTTGCACACAAATAATAGTTGGTGTACAGTATTGTTTTACTTAGTATCAGACTGTTACTTCACAAATATGACAGTTGTTCACAAAATGATTGAAATTGATGCAAAACAAGACTGTTCAATGCAGTTTTATACATGTGTTAGAAAAACACTGAACATGTGCCGAACAATATTACAATATTTAATATCTTATAAACATTTTTGTCCTTTCATGGAATGTGATTTATTTTTGTTAATTTTTTAATTTTATTTGTTTTAGTTGCCAAAGGAATGCCATATCAAATGGGCAGAGAATGAAAGCTGAGTTCACTGTCTTAACACACTTATGCTGTACATCAAAAGGTTGGAGCTATTTGCCAGCAAAATCCAAGCACTTCACTACAGATAACTTCTTTGCTCATGACTTTACAAAGGTGACTATCAGAATTGGTACACTCAAGGTTTATGTAATAGAATTACAAATACAGTTGAACTTTGGAATCTCGAACACTGATTATTATATAAGTACATTTTACATGAATTGTATAAATATACAAGACATTTAGCATTGTACTTGATTTAGCAGAAGGTGTTTGCCGTCAAAATCTGTAGGTGAGAGCAAGATTTTTAGGTCATCTGAGTCACTCAGATGATTTACAGCTATCTGTATCATCCATTGTTGTGTGAGATGTGTGAATTTTTTTTTTTAAGTTTCAGCTTCTTCAAGATGCTCTTGTTTTACTGTATGTACATTCATTACAGAAACAAAACTTTAAACTTGAATGTTAATATTACTATGTTTTCAGATTAATTTAACTCAGCGCCCTGTTTTGCACCTGTATGATGAGTTAATTTATGAAGTCTTCAAAGGACCTGACGATAAAGCTCTGGAGTGGTACAGCAAAGACATGAGGAAAAAGAAGATATTTGATTACTGATGATAGTAACTGACACAGATAAAGAACATCAGCTGTTCATCAGCTGTTTATTGTATTGTTACAGTGAGAACATCTGTGCTTCCGTAGACCAATTGATTTTCAAGATTTTTGTTTCTGATTACAGAAATTGAACTTGGAATAAATTGTATTGTTATTCTTATTCCGATGGGGCGGTTAAAATCTGATACACATCCATAACATCATTTTATCATCTTTTTATACATTGTAATTTATGTTTTGTAAGAAGCTGTGATATGTATATACATCTTCTGTTGGCAATACTTTTACAAGAAATGTATAGAGAGAAAAAAATGGTGTAGATTATTATGTGGTATAAAGACCTGTTAAAAATTCAATTAAATTTTCTGCTGGATGGATTTCTATGCTCTGCACAAAGAGTACATTATATATGAGATCAGGCCAGGAATATGACCTGATTAATTAAGGTATCATATCCTGATCATGATTTTTTTTTAAATATTTTGCCTTGATTAGGCTATATTTTCATGTTGCTAATATTATTAAGGCTCAAATGAACTTTTCAAATCTAGAAAAATGTCAGGCAAGCTCTGTCATTTATAAACTTTTCACATAGCTTCACCAAAACCCTGGGACAATTTGGACAATTTCAACCCAACTTTGCGCAAAGTATCCTTAATAGAAGGGGGCTCAGGTTTGTTTAACTAAAAGTCCTTAGCCTTTTCACAGAGTGTTTACCCCATTCTGCTGTTTTCAGTAATTTAAATGGTTTATGTCTGTTATTTGAGGATTTTTCAGTAATCTTGTAACATCAAATACCATTGCTTTATTTTGTAATGTACATATCGTAGCTTAGATATGAATTATTTTTATACACCCATCTGTGATAGGATGTACTATGGTGATCATGTCCATCCAACTGTTTGTTAGCTTTTCAGTGTCTGGCTCATAAATTTTATACTTTGAGGCCTGGAATCATTAAACTTTGTCAGCTAATGCATCTATGGTAGAAAGAGTGTTGTGCTTAAAAGTAAGGTCACTGTGACCTTTGAACAAATAGCCAAATATGGCAAAACCCTTCCAGCACATATTGGGAAAATTAATTGACCTAGGATCATCAAACTTGGACAGATAATGCATCTAAAGTAGAAGGTGTGTCACACCTTTTATAAGTCCCTTTGATGTTTCTGGTGAAAAAATGCTATATTTTAAGGGATAATCCCTATAAATTTATGTCAAATCATGGCCCTGATGTTTTGGATGATTTTGAAAAACGATTCCTTTTGTGACTCATCATCTTGAGCAGAATCTCTATATCTCTCTCCTACCCCTGGCTGCCCAATCACATAAAAGTATCATAATCTTGAATAATCATGCCTTATGTGTGATTGATATAAACCAATGAAAATAATCGTGTTTATACTTTATAGTCTATGTATAGTCCCTGTATAATCTGTACAAACCCAAACAGTTCATAACAAGTTCACTGGATTTGAAGCCATATTCACTGGAGGGTCAGTGTGCACACAGCAGCGATTTTGATGTCATAAATGACACCTCAAGTAACATTGTAAACAATGGTTACAAAGGCCAGAGCCAGCTGTGTATCTGAGCATGAAAAACGTCAGACAACCCTATCGCCAAATTAATACCTAAACATTTCGACGGGATATGACTTACACACTATGAAGGAAAACAAGTTATAACATGTAATCTGGACATTTTTATACTTTTTGCAATGGTTCATTCATGAAAATGGTGTTGCGCATACTGACTTCAATGTCTTATTCATATCCAGACTATATAATAAAACAATTATGGAGTTTTTAGGTGGTGAATATGGTTTGATATTCCCCAGAAAATATCAATATTGACAACAGCATCATTTCCTTGAGAGCAGTGATTGGAACAATTAAACTTGAATCTGGTCTGAGTATGTTTGTGTATTAATTTCACTAATCATGGCTGGACTAGCTGTTCTTGAAAAGTTTTTTTTCCCCTATATATTCCCATGTAAACCCTATTGTCGCCACATCCTACTCCTTGGGAGCACAATTATAACAAACTTAAATCTGCACTACCTGAGAAGGCTTTCATATTATGGCCCTGCTTGCTGTTCTTGAGATTTTTGAAGGTTTTTTTCCCTATATACATATGTAAATCTTTGGCACCACCTTACCCCCAGTTGCCATGATTTGAATAAACTTGAATCGATACCCATTAAGGAAGCTTCCACATACGTTTTTAAGTACATGATTGCTATATTTTTTAACAAAATGTTTACGTGTACTTCAAAATTATTTCAGTTGAAGAAAATGCAATCATGCAGTGAAAATCAGAAAAATTGTGAAGTTTTACAACACAAAAATGGTGTTCCAAATTCTGCTGTGAAACTTGTATTCTTTACTGTTGCACAACACTTAGGTGCATGAAACTTTCCAAGATATAATTCAGAGAATTCCCCTCCACTCTTCCCCATTCTCGGTAAGGCCAAAAGCTTATTTATGATATTAGCCAGAAAAAAATTCATGGCCTTGATCTTCACCTCAAATTCAATAAGGGTCGTGTTTTAGTTCAAATGTAGATCATTTTGAAGTGAATCTGGAAACCAGTTCATACCATATACATGTATGAACTTGTGACCTTGATAGTGAATTATAGGCATAAATATAAAATTTTATTGCAAAAACTAAAGGACTTTTAGACAATAAAAACAAAAGTGTTACAGAAGACAGACCCAAATAATATCCCCCACTTTTAGCCCGGGGGGGGGGAGGGGGGGAGGGATAAAAAAATATTGGAAGAAATTGTTATCAAAATTGATATACTTGACCATTTTTAACTGGTTTTTCCATAGCTATAGAAAAAATCCAGTTATTGAAATGGTGAAAATGGCAAGAGAGTCGGTAGGTGGCTGCCAAAAGGGTACATCATTTTTCTGGAAAAGTCCTCCTACAGTTCTCAAGATAGGAACCATTTTTTTTGCAGGTCAATTGTACATACTAGGTATATCAGAGATGTGCATACTATGCAGCTTTGATTTGGATTTTTGATAATTTTTTAGAAAAATACCAGCTGTTGAACTTAAGTTGATTTTTGTGCAAAATAATCAATGCACATAGGGTATACATCATTTGGCCAGGTAACTCCTCCTACAGTTTTCAAAATAAGAAGTTTTTATTTGCAGATCAATTGTACATATATCAGAGATGTGCATATTACTTGAATTTTGATCATGCCATTTGTTGAACTTCATCATTAATTTTCTGTATTCATTAATTAATTTAAAAATATCCTGATAGGGTACACTGATTTTGTTGGTGTCACCTCCTACAGTTTTTAAATAGAAAGTTTTTATAATAGACAACATTCACCAGAGTTAATTCCCTTCTGGATTCAATCTAAGGTCAACTGACATAAGGTGCTGTTTTCCCCTTATAACATAACCAACTATATGGGGGTATCTGATAAGTAAGATCTATATGTGAATGTTCATTATGTTTTCTTTGTTGCTACATACTTGCCAATGAAGGTATAGTATAAAACTGTCACAAGACATTTAAATATTTTTACAGGTAAGTTACAGATCTATAGTGACAAAAAATGGGCATTTCATGAGAAAGGGGAATAACTCTTGCAAATGGAAATTTGTATGTTGATGCAAGAAATACCAGTTCTGTTCACACAAAGAAAATCGATTTGCTGTCACATTGACAGTTTAATTTCCACTTTTCTGGTAATAACATTTTAAGCTCACCTTGATGAAGTTGATATGAGTTTATGCTACATGTAAATCATTGGCATCAGTGTTGGTGTCCCAGTTAAAGTTTTAGGAGCAAGTCCATTCCCATGCAAGTATAACTACAAGCATCAACCTGAACAAAACTTGAATGGATGATGCATCTAGGGATGGACACTACCAGACTTGCTTTGGTTGCTGGATCTGACCTACATTTTCCAGACGAGTGACCAGACTGAAGTTCTTGGAGCAAGTCTATTTGCCCTACCTGGACCAACCTTGCAAGGATGATGCATCTAAGGATGCACTCTACCTGACTTGCTTCAGATGCTTGATGTGACCTATATTTTCCAGATGAAACCAGGGTAATGTTTTAATTTGGAGTAGCTCTGCAACTATTTGGCCTGTTCTGATTAAACTTGCATGGATAATGCATCTAGGGATGGACACTACAGACTAGCATTGGATGTTGAATCTGACCTACATTTTCTACATGAGTGAACAGATTAAAGTTTTTAGAGCTGGTTCATTCCAAAGTAACTCCAAGTCCTACATAAATCAGTCTTGCATGGATATCGATCTAGAAACAATTTGGTACGAGATATTTGCCTTACTTATAGATTACATTTGTCAAGGTGAGCTTTGTTATCTTTGATTAACCTAGATTTATCCTGGGAATCCGTATACTTTTTTTTTAATGATTAAACGTAACACACAATTTCGTTTTTTTTTTTTTTTTTTTTTGGATAAAATTGTAAAATTATAAGAGTACTAAAGATTGAATTTTTAAATTCAATGTTTCTAAGCTTGTAGTATGCTTATTACAGTAGTTTCATGATTAATTTTACCTTCTTTATCAGTTTTTAGCTCACCTGAGCTGAAAGCTCAAGTGAGCTTTTCTGATCACCTGTTGTCCATCTGTAAATTTTTCACATTTTCAACTTCTTCTCAAGAACCACTGGGCCAATTTTAACCAAATTTGGTACAAAGCATCCTTGAGTAAAGGGGAGTTTAAATTGTTAAAATAAAGGGCCAAACCCCCTTACAAGGGGAGATAATCAAGAAAATACAAAAATAGGGTGGGGTCATTAAAAAATCTTCTTCTCAAGAACCACTGGGCCAGAAAAGCTGAAACTTATGTGGAAGCATTCTGGGGTAGTGTAAATTCTAAATTGTTAAAATCATGACCCCCGGGGGAAGGGCGGGGCCACAATAAGGAATCCAAGATTTACATTGAAATATATAGAAAAAATCTTTAAAAATCTTCTTCTCAAGAACCACTGGTCCAGAAAAGCTGAAACTTATGTGGAAGCATGCTGGGGTAGTGTAGATTCTAAATTGTTAAAATCATGACCCCCCGGGGAAGGGCGGGGCCACAATAGGGAATCCAAGTTTTACATTGAAATATATAGGACAAAATCTTTAAAAATCTTCTTCTCAAGAACCACTGGGCCAGAAAAGCTTAAACTTACGTGAAAGCATCCTTGGGTAGTGTAGATTCTAAATTTTTAACATCATGACCCCCGGGGGAAGGGCGGGGCCACAGTAGTAAAACTAAGTTTAACATTGAAATATATAGAAAAAATCTTCTTCTCAAGAACCACCTGGCCAGAAAAGCTGAAACTTTTGTGGAAGCATGCTGGGGTAGTGTAGATTCTAAATTTTTAAAATCATGACCCCCGGGGGAAGGCTGGGGCCACAATAGGGAATCCAAGTTTTACATTGAAATACATAGAAAAAATCTTTAAAAATCTTCTTCTCAAGAACCATTAGGCCAGAAAAGCTGAAACTTATTTGGAAGCATCCTTGGGTAGTGTAGATTCTAAATTTTTAACATGACCCCCGGGGGAAGGGCGGGGCCACAGTAGTAAAACTAAGTTTTACATTGAAATACTAAGAAAAAATCTTTAAAAATCTTCTTCTCAAGAACCACCTGGCCAGAAAAGCTGAAACTTTTGTGGAAGTATGCTGGGGTAGTGTAGATTTTAAATTGTTAAAATCATGACCCCCCGGGGAAGGGCGGGGCCACAATAGGGAATCCAAGTTTTACATTGAAATATATAGAAAAAATCTTAAAAAATCTTCTTCTCAAGAACCATTGGGCCAGAAAAGCTGAAACTTATGTGGAAGCATCCTTGGGTAGTGTAGATTCTAAATTGTTAAAATCATGACCCCTGGGGGCAGGGCGCGGCCACAATAGGGAATCCAATTTTTATATTGAAATATATAGAAAAAAAATCTTTTTCTCAAGAACCACTTGGTCAGGAAAGCTAAGACTTTTGTAGAAGCATCCTGGGGCAGCGTAAATTCTAAACTATTCAAATCTTGATCCCTGGGGGTAGGGTGGGGCCACAATAGGGAATCCAAGTTTTACATTGAAATATATAGGAAAAATCTTTAAAAATTTTCTCCTCAAGAACCTCTTGGCCAGTAAAACTGAAACTTATATGGAAACATCCTGGGGTAGTATAGATTTTAAATTGTTAAAATCATGACCCCCATGGGTAGGGCGGGACCACAATAGGTATTGCAAAAAGATCGTCTGGTGAAGAACAGCAGGGCCAAAGTTATTCAGGTGAGAGTTGTGGTCCATGGGCCTCTTGTTTTCTTTTACTTGATTATCCCTCGGAAAACTGATTATTCATGCAATTTGACGCACATGCAGCTATGTTAAAAATTCATCTGCAGCAACTATTCAAGTAAACTTGAATCTGCACTACCTGAGGTCACTTGCTTACTTATATGACCAATCATGGTCCTGCTGTTCTTCAGTACAGGGTTTTTAGAAACGTTTTAAAATATTTCCTATGTAAAACTTTGAACCCCTTCCTAGGTCTCACCCTATTCCTGGAAGCTGTGATTTGAACAAATTTGAATCTGCACTACCTGAGGATGCTTTTATTTTGAATGACTTCAATCATTACCCTGCTGTTCTTCAGAAAAAAATTTGATTCCTATACATTCCATGTAAAAACTTGATCCCCTATTGTAGCCCCACCCTATCCCTGGGGGTCATTTGAATGATATATATATGTACACCGAAAAGCATCCACGTTTTCTTCTTTTCTGACCCACTGGCCCTTGAACTTTTTAAAGATTTTTCCCCTATATTTTGTTATGTAAACTTTCATTCCCAAATGTGGCCCCACCATATCCCAGGGGCTATGATTTGAACAATTTAGAATAATTAACACCATGTCAGGAAGCTTTCACACAAGTTTCATCTCTTCTTGCCCAGTGGTTCTTGAGTGGATTTTTTAATGAACCCTCCTTATTGTTGGCCTTTTCTTGATTACCCCCACCCCCTTGGAAGGGACATAAACCTATATTTGAACAAGTCGGTAGAGGGATCGTTCCGTGATCAGAAGGTCATGAGTTCGAATCTCGGCCACAACTGACCCAAGTCGATAAAAAAAGATAGCAACTGTTCCTTCACCAAGCGCTCAGCACTTTGAAGTGAAAGTTGCATGTCCTTCGGATGAAACTTTAAAAACCAAGGCCCCGTGTCACAGCAGGTGTTGGTATGATAAAGATCCTTCACTGCTCAATAGCCGTAAGTGCCAAGTAAAGGTCTAAATTTGAAGCCCTTCACTGGTAATGTTGACATCTCTATATGAGTGAAAAATTCTCAAATGGGACGTAAAACAACATACAATCAATCATTATATTTGAACAATTTAGAATCCCTTTGTTCCAAGGATACTCTGTTCCAAGTTGCACTGAAATTGGACCTGTGGTTTTAGAGAAAGTCGAAAATGTGCAAAGTCTACAGATGGACAGAAAAAACGGTAGACACCAGTCAAAAGCTCATAGCCTAGTGAGACAAAAAAGAAGTCAAATTACTCTAGTTTTAAGGAAGCTCTAAAGACTACTGAAAACTTTGGAGGTGGGGTGGGGTGGGGGTGTCTGGTTGAGAAAATTGTATCATATCAATTGTAGTTACCTACCTGCCATAATTCAAAGACAATGAAGTATAAGAGACCAGAAATCACATGTAATTACATTGGGAAAATATTAAAAAAATATGGTAATGTATTTACTTATTTTATCTTGGTCCAATATAATATAAATACACGAATCTTTTTCCAGTTATGTCATTTACTATAGATTTCCATTTAATCCATCATATCGAAGGACAGACCACTCTAAATACATGAAACTTCCTTGGATTCTTCAGTGTGCAGTGTTTAGAGCTTCCTTAAACAATACAAGTGCCAGGAAACTCTTGGAATGCAGAATTTTGCACCATTTACCCTAGAGCTTCTGAAGGCCTAGGCAGAACCCAGACCCCTAGCTTATTTTGGAAAATCTTTTAAATTGTTTTTTTTTTCCACGTCATTTGATTGGAAAATCAAGTTTGATTGATTTTTTGTGACAAGACAGACAGAAAAGGATTACCTTATCATCAGCAAAGAACCAATAAACAAATAAATCAACAAACAACAACTTAAATTATTGACAAACTTTCATTTGTCATATGTTTTAATAATTTTTTTGAAAAATTTTTCCATCTTCATTTTTACCAACATAGAATACAAGACCAAGTAAGAAACCTCTCCACTCAGGAATATATTTCAATACAACTGAATACTTCTGAGTGGAGAGACGTCAGTCTTGCATTCTAGACAAGTTTACTGTACAAAAATATTGACATGTAAACTGAGTGTTCATGTGCACACAAATAAAATCAATATCTCCAATAACAGCTGGCTCACACAGCTCATGACTATTTATATTTCTCAATCACATGATAAATGACATGAAATCAGAGTCCCTGATTGGTCAGATTCTACAGACAACGGTTATATAACATAAACACTGGAATTACAGTCCTCTTATTCCCAAATCATGATTTAACCTGAAAAAAAGATGGATCCCAAAAAATCTCGACAATATTATACTGTCCAAAATCTATATCTGTGCCTTTCAATTTAATCCCCCTCCAAATAATGCAAAAAGAATCCTAAGACAGTTAAATTACAGATAAAGCCTTTACATTTCTTATGGAGTAATTTTGTTTTTATATACTAACAGATGTCTAAAATATTGAAATCCATTTCATAACAAATAAAGTGAACTTCAGAAACAGAATTCATTTTGAAACGAAAAAGAATAAAACTCTTTAAAATAACTAAACTTTGTACAGGAATTATTGTAAATAAAACTAATGATTGCACTTTTTCCAAATACAAATTTGCACTTTTCAATTATAAGTAACTATACACAATGAAAACAAAATGCTTTCCAAGTTTAAAAGTTTTCAGTACTAAATTGATTGCTTACAGTATTTGTGAAAATCTGTAAACAACTGAACAATTCTTTCTCAAGTGTTTTTTTTTTCCTCTGGATGATGAAGGGCAAACTGAAGAAATAAAATCAAACTGAGAAAGTGAGATTCAAAGAGTCAAACTTCCAGACGGAATATCGAGCACACTGCAAAGCTGAGGACAGCTGGCTTGAGTACCCAGGTCTCATGACCATAATACATGTAGATGCCTTGACTGACACAAAATGAGTAAATGACTTTTAATCACCATCCACTTGTTAACTGTAATGACTTAAGACAAAACAAGTGCCCTCTCATACATAACATATATTGCGAGATCAAACACAACCTAGGACCCTGCCTTGGCATATAATTTATCACAATGTGCTGCGAAACAAAACATTGGCTTTAAATATAGTCCCTGCATATTAAATTTCGCAATGTTCAAAAGCTCTTAAACAATGGTGAGCACCCTGTCCACTGGTTTGTCCGAGTCATCATCACAATCAGACATTTAAGGATGATTACAATGATCAAGCATTCCTCCATTTCTACTTTAACATTTACACAGGCAGAATGGCAGTAACAGCAGATCCAAGGAAATCCATCGTCGTCTCGTACTATGGACCATAAGGACATCTGTCTCCTTATTGTTCAGCTTTAATTCAAGTCTCTGTCTTCAAGATACCGGTATTCAAACGTAAAACCTTCTTTTTTCCTTTGGCACCACTTCTCGTAGTCAAAATAGATGTATGTGCCCTGTAAACAAACAACAACAATACTTCCATAATTGTCATGAAGTTCACCTAAATACCACTATTAATTTTCTGATGACTTCTGCTACTGTAGTTTATTTCTGCTTAAAGGTAAGAAGCCTTTGGTGACTGATAAAGTTAAATCTGAGAAAGTGCATCCACTTTTCTTCTTCAAGTTTGCATAGATCATATGAATTTTTACGTCTCATAACTTCAGTAACTTTGAATGCAACAGATATACATGTAAATCCTACATTTAATATTATTTCGCAAATTCAAAATGTGTGTAATCAAATAAAACAGAAACTACATCAGACTAAATAAGTCCACAGGATGCTAATTCCCTTGCCTTTTGTAGAATGTGTATTCCATATTCCAACGTAAGGGACTTACATATTGGTGCTTTTATGTTGTAAGTTCTGACTTGCCTGACACAATGGTTCTAGATAAGATTTCCCACTGCTTTTATTTCTTTTCCCTTATTTACTGTTAGATCACCTTTTTTTCCTGAGGTCAAATTTTCATGATTTAATTTTATGTTAAGGGAAAAACAGTCCAGTATAAAATTTTAACATTTTAACGGGATATGAATCCTTAGGTTTCTTCATACCATGAAAATTAAATCCCAACGAAATTTAGTGATTTCAGTGTCTCCCCTTGCATGCAGATTTCTCCCTTCATATGAACAAAATTAAATCCCTTCTCCCAACAACGCTTTATGCAAAGTTTGGTTTATTCTAACCTAGTGGTTCTGGAGAAAAAGATAAAAATAAGAAATCATTTACAGATGACAGACCACCAACAGACAAAATTTGCTCATCAAAGTTTACTACAGTGTTTGGGTCAAGTGACCTACACAACTCTAATCCATCATAGTAATTTCACATGAATATCCGCAAACCTGTTCATAATCCTCTGTTATTGTCTTTGGCTCTTCATGCCGCTGGAACCACATCATGTACCTTGTGTGAAATCGCCATGACTGTTTTTTTAAAGCCTTTGCTGCCAGATATTGAGCTTTTGTCCCCTGAAAATAGATTGGAATTTCATACCTTAGAGGGACAAACAAGAAATTGACTATGTATCAAAAACAAATTATTGTTTTTAAATTCGGTTGATACTTAAACAAGAGGTATATGTTTGACATGTATGGCTTACATACCTCCATATAATAAAATATAAAGAAGAGTGTTTCTGTGGATAGTCGTTGAAAAAACTCAACCGAGTCTGCATGGGGTGGGGGCAGTTGTGGGTAAAAGGAGGGCGATGGACAAGGGTTTCGGGGAAGAAATGACCTGAAAAACAATTTCAAAATTCCTGATACTCTAAACCTTACACTTCCAAGGCAAAAAAAAAAAAAAATTAAAAAAAAAAAAAAAAAAAAAAAAAAAAAAAAATTAGAAAGGTACAAAAATGCTTAGAAGATCCAGACTATTTCTAAATTTTCATCTCTCTTACCTTTGTCTCTCAGAATCAGAGGGGTGTGGTAAGTGATGATATGCAGCTTCTAGCATCTGTAGTTGGTAAAAGTTTTCTCTACTCAGAGGTACTGGACCCAGGGGTGCCACCCCCAGTAGTGGGTTGAGGTGTATTGTGGTGGTTTGCGGTTGTTGTGACGTCTGATCACTGGGCGATAACGACGTACTTTGTGACACCACTTGTGAAGAGGTTGGTAATGATGTTGTTAATGATGTGGAACTATTAAATTGCACTGAAATTAACACATATATTCAGTGTAAAACTTCACAAAAAAAGGTGCTTGTCCCTTTTTATTTTTTATTTCCTGGTTCTGTAAAGTTGTCATGCAAACTCTGCTATAGACTCTTTCATTTTACCTCAGCAAAAAAATAATTTGTTGAAAATTTTTTTTTCAAGCAGTGCAAGATTGTTGGTTCCACTTACATCTCGATTCTGATGGCAGAGGAGGAGGTGTTGGTATCTGATTCTCTAGACCCGCATTTACCACTGCTTGTTGTGCTATAGACTTTAATGAGGACATGGATTCTGAATTCTGTAAACAGTAGAATTATGTTTTATAAAAATTAAAAAAAAAGAAAAAAAAATTTGAGCAGCACTAACACTGTCTTCATGTAGCAATTTTCATGAATGCTTATCAACTAACATAAACATCAGCAGTACTTGTAATGGTCATAAAATTTTACTTCCTGGCCTTAGTCCTTTACTTTTGGCACTCTAATGTCTACCGCTGGCCATCTTATGTTAGTAAAACTAGAACTAAATGTGTTCTATATACAGTATTGTTTACTAATGCATGAATTCACCTTTTCTGTAACTGAATTCCCTGAACTTTGTCATGAGGATAAAATATAATCAGTCTATGCGAAAGTTTAAAATTTTTAAAGGACATATGGTCTGGTAAAAATATATATTTTACCAGACCAAGCATTTACTTACCAGACTGACCTTTTTCTTTAAATTCATACATCATTATGATACAGAGATTGAAAAGAGGAGGGGGGTGTATTCTCACTGTTATATTGAACCTTAAATGATTATTAAAAAAAAAATGATTTTATGGAAATGAACACATTTATTATTGTTTCCTTTTTAAAAGGTAGTACATATGACAAATGCATACAATTTTCTCTTTTTCTGGTTATTTGACACATACAAACGAAATATACAGTGTCAAAGATTTTTTTCTTAAACTTAAAATGTACTTTAAAATATATTTATTTATTTCCTGAAGTAACTCATAATAGTTACTCTTGTTTAATAATGAAAATAATCTACCCAACCGAATCTACGTATGAGCTATCCATAGATCTATAATCCATGACAGAGGAAATTCGAATTAGAAATAACCGATCATGACAGGGTTGATATAGATTTAAATTAATCATGCATTACTGCTAAATGGATCGAATAAAGGATATGTGTGGAAAATAAGACCATATGAACATGTAAATTCAGAATTTTAGGCCTTATTTTTTCATCGGACATTTGGTCCTGTATCCTGAATTTTTTTACCGACCCGAACCAAATTTTACCGCTAAAAACCGACGGTCCGGTGACTTTCGCATAGACTGTATAATATTTCTGAGCGTTTTATTCATATCCAATTTTATGGAAGAAGCACTACATATACCTTTTAATAGTACATGTGGTTTTCACAAGTCTGTGGAAGTTCCAATCAAAACTTTCAACACTAGTTATCCAATCAAGAAAAAAACACTAGAATGAAAGTGTCTGGAGTTGAATTGAAATTAACTGTACTTACACTGTCATCCATGCCACTGATCCCTTTTAATCCTGATGCACTCATTGGTCCATTCATAACCACCTCCATGGAAGGCGGATGTGAGATGGGTCCGTTTGTTGTCTGACTCGAGTGAGAATTGCTTGTTGGTACACTATTTGATACAACCATTGGCATTGAAATTGAAAAGGGCACTGTTGTGCCATTATTGGTAAATAATGGTGATGGGGCTGGCACTAACGAGGGATTTCCTACAGGAGTCACTGAGACAGAGTTTGAATTAGAGTGTGTCACTGAAGATGTACTGCTGTTTACTGTTGAGTTACTATTTAAAGCTGAATGGTCCATAGCGTTCACTTGATTTTTTGTATCTAAAATAAAAATGCAATGTGACAGAGTAATATTTTATACCTTGCCATGCACCTAAATAATTCGAAACCAAAGCAGTTACGGTATGTAAACCAAAAAAAAAAAAAAAAAAAAAAAAAAAAAAAAAAAAAAATTTCCAGATTCAACACCTTCACAAGTTCCTAGACAAATATATATGGATCTTTACTTCTTTTGAATGAGAAAACTTACATTTGTATCAAGAGGCAGATTTTACTTAAAAATGTATGATACGACTTAAGCAAACAACTGAAGGTAAAATAAAAAATCCTCTGTGTGAGAGATGGCAAATTAGCATCATTATTTGAGCACAAAACACGCTTCTAATATCAAAAGGGGCCAGCCCCCCCCCCCCCCCCTTTTATCTGAAAATAGTTTTACTATTATGGAAAAATCCTGGTTGCTTCCCTCCCCCTCCCACTTTTGAAGCAGTATGGCCAAATCCTTGTTAATATTATACTATGACATTTCAAATTTTGGTCTTTTTTTTGTAAGCTTCTTACCAGTACTTATTTCAGATATCTTGTAATTCTTTTTTCTGATTGCACCCCCCCCCCCCCCCCCCCTTTAGAAAACAATACCAAGTGCCTGCAAAAGTTTGTGTATGCATTTTTTATCCTTCATCAGTGGAATCACTGTAAATCAACTACTGTATAACGGGTATATTCTGCTCTGCTGCTCATCTCCCTATTAATTATTTGGCAATTTTTTTCAAATTACTTTTATTTCATACCCTGGTAAGCATAAAACTTTTTTATACAATTATCAGTTATGAATTCACATGTTAAATCTGGCGAATACTACCTTGATGTACACAACACATAGAGGGAATAAATGACGATGAGTTTACGAAATATTTTAATTAATATTTGATGAAAATTTTGCAGTTGTAATTTTTCATTTCGTAATTGCCCGTTTCAAACCACCTTATTAACTTCCACTCCAATAAATGTTGGTATACATTAATTAGTAATTTCCAGCTACCCTACATGCCAAGTTAACTGACTAATCTGACTTACATGAACTGACTCCTTAACATTGGATATACATTATTCCTTACTCCTTATGATGGATTGATATCATAGGGTTAATATACTGTACCATCTGTAAAAACAGTTTCTCTAGCAAGATGTATTTTTCTTGAAAACACTTCTCTATCTAAAATTCACATGGCAGTTTTAACTGATATTTTAATTATGTAATAAAAGTATAGTCAAACCTCATTATCTCGAACTCAATGGAAGAAAGAAAAACTTTAAGATACTGAGGTAAAAATACATTAAAGAAAAGGTAATTGGGGCTTCCCAGCTGACTTCAAGCTATCCATAGTATTCGAGACATCAGTGTTCGAGATAATAAAGTTCAACTTTATTTTTAATTTCCAACCCTTTCAAAAATGGACGTTTTACATGACATGTATGCAGATTTCAATAAAAAGCTTGATTTAATTTAAATTACATTGACAACTCTACAGGATACAGGAACATGTAATATACCACCTCCAGCATGCAGATATTTCAAAATTTGACAATTCTAGATAGCATATTCAACTTTGGCACCACACCATCCTAATCAAATCTTCAAGCAGGAGATTAGACATGGCACATATATTTCATATAATGATCTACTCTGGCCAGGTGACAAGGGCTAGAGAACATTACCCATCCCTTTCTTACCCCTTTTAATATAACGGTCAGATAAGTAAGACAACTTCATGGGGGAAATATCCCCCTGCCATACAGTGGAACTGACAGGTAACCGTGGAATGGCTATACCTAAAATGTACAATAATACCAATTTTCTAAGACTCTCCCACAAACAACAGTCTGTTGTGACACACAGCCCTTTTTTCTTATTATTATTCAGTCATATTACAACTTCAAGAAATATTCTCTAGCTCTATTGTGTTTACGTTGGAATATATATTGCTGAATGTATTAATGGAAAATTGTTTATACACATGTAAGTGATAACTACTAAGTGTCTATGACATTAATGGAAAGAAAACTGCCCCATGATTCATTCTGCTTCATAAAGTTTTGTTTTTTTTTTTAAAATAAAATACAGAATTATTTTCATGTTTTTTGTTGTCGGTCATGTAGAATTATGAAAATAGAAACTGAAACCCTTCGATAAGAACCAGAAATTCAAAACAAATACAACAATCATTCAAATGCTTAGTACTATGAACACAGATATCAAACACAAGGTGAAAAAATTTTAACTTAAAATGCAGGATTAATTCACGAGTATGAGAAATATACTGTATTTCTCAACCTAGTAGTGAAAGTTCCTATACTGAAATATAACATTTTACTGGTATTATTGTATGCCTCAACCTACTTAATCTACACAATAGACCCATTTTATAATCATTCTACAGACATTTACCCATTGCAAAAACACACAATCCAGAACATTTCAATCCATTACAAATCATGCTCTTTTTTTTTGGAATTACAAAGCATCACCTATTCCTGTCAGTGTTGAGAGTCTACATCCACTATTCTATCTGCCTACTTGATTTCCTGTTTTTTATGTGCTCACCTGTACCGTTATTTTGTTGTGAACTGGCGGCTACCGAAGAGAACCCTGTTAGAGGTGGTGGTGTGGAATTTGGACGATGATTGCTATTTGAATTTTCTATGGTCGTAGCATTCCTGTAAAAATAGGAATTGGATTATTACAGTGTCTCAAAAATGGTTTAAAAATTACCTCAAATATTTTGAGTTTTATTATCATTAACTATACATGCATCATATATTTGTATTGTTAGAGTATGCATAGAGTATGCATATACAACATACACAGGCATTTACAAACATGTACATGTTATACAAATTACTTATACAAGCTTATGTTTTCTATTTTCTTTTTTAAAAGGAATTTGATTCAATTGTCAAGAATTCATACCCCTGGAATAACTTTGTAGGAGTTGATGGAACTTTGTTATTGACAGGAACATTTGACAATGAATTATTTAATGATGGAGGAGAAATCACGGGTACTGACTTCTGTAAAACAAATAATAACATGAAGAAAGAATTCATATAAACATAACACCAGTGCAAACAAAATAGGTTACAGTTAAATTTGGTTATAAGAGTCACTGGGACCTGGAATTTTGTTTCCTTATATAACTGAGATTCTTTATATCCTAATAACGCATAAAGTAAAAAGTTTTCCTTGTAACCCAATTTTCCTTATAATCAAGTTCTATATAACCGAGTTTTACTATATTTAAACAAAATAATTTAGGACTTTAGTCCAACAGAATATCTGAGCTTCTAGATATAAAAGTACATGAAAAAGGGTTGAAATAGAATTTTATGAAATTAAGATATTTAAATTCATTATTGAACATGAATTTCTTACAGGTTCTAGTTCCGCACTGAGAGCTCGAATACTATCATCATTTTGTGATTTGTGTCTTTTCCTCTCATCATCTGACCTTTCCTGAAATAACATAAATTTCATTATAGATTTGATAGTTGTGAAGTAAAATTCATTGTTTTCCATGACTGAATCTTAACTCAAAGTAATCTTACATAATGCAAAATAAATTCAAACTGCTTAACCATGCCTATTGTAAAACTTACTTTGGAATGATTCAGACTAGGACTGGGGGAGGGTGAACTTGAATTTGTTGAAGTTGGAGTGCTTGATAATGCTTCCAAGTTGATGATATCATCATTCGGTGGTGAAGATGCAAGCATTTGTGCACCTGCAACAGAAGTTACTTTAACTTTGTAGATAACTTCATTTCATGTCATTACATCAAATTGCCACATTTTTATAGATTTTTTTTTCATAATTTGAGTCTCCAACCTATCCTATCCCTCTTAGACCAAGGTGTATGAAAATTAATTTAAGTTACAAGATGATGCTTCCAAATTATTTTTACAAGCTCTGGATACGTTGGTTTTACTTTTAGTTAGATTTATCTTACATGCTCTTATTTTTTCTTGAAATGAAATATTCATATATGGGAAATGAAAATAATTCCCTCAAGATCATGGCACATCCTCAGGTCATAACAATTTTTGTATCTAGTTCAATGATTCTCCATAACAAAGTTATAGCCTGGACAAGAACTTAATATTTTTTTTCTGTCAGTAACCTTGAACTTGGCGGAATTTGGGTCAATGTCATAAAACACCCTCTCGACATAAACAATCTCTGTACCAAATATGATCTCCAAGCGATTCTACATTACAAAGTTATAGTCCAGACAAGAATTTTATACTTCTTCTGTTAGTGACCTTGAATTTGCTAGAATGACCTTGGGTCAAGGTCAAGACATACATAAATAATTTCTGTACCAAGTATCTCCATTACAAAGTTAAAGCCCCGGACAAGAATTTATCATTTTTTTCTGCTAGTGACCTTGAACTTCTTGGAATGATCTTGGGTCATGGTCATTACACACCCTATGGTTATAAACAATTTCTGTACCAATATGAGCTTCCAATCATTCTATAAAGTAATAGCCTGGATAAGATTGGACGGACAGATGCACAAGGTGATTCCTATCTACCCCCCCCCCTCCTTCATTGGCGGGGGAGGGATGTTCTGGGGTCAAGGTCATGACACACTCTATGGTCATAAGCAATCTCTGTACCAATATGAGCTTCCAATCATTCTATAAAGTTATAGCCTGGAAAAGATTGGACGGACAGATGGACAAGGTGATTCCTAGCTAACCCCCCCCCCCCCCCCCACTTCATTAGCAAGGGAAGGGGAGGCTAAAAAAACTTAAGCTTGACAGAGAGCCAAAGTACCTCCCATCCAATTTTGTCCTAGTTTTAAGAGTTTTCAACATACCTAAATCCTCAAGATCCAAATCATCATAAAGAAATTCATTTTCTTCGAAATCGGGTTCCTGGTTAAACTCAACATAATACTCAACATCATCTTTGATTTTCTTTATCTATAAAACAAAGCAAAATTCAAATACCAATTTTCCAATTCTATTTTTGCATGTTTAGAAAATGAGATCAATTGAGTGAAAGATCATGCAAGGGCTCACCTGATCCAGTGGGATTGCATCATTATCAACCATTCGAAGAATGGTTTCCAATTGCTTTATATGGAATTTGTGTTTGTCCATGTATCCCTTTAGCTCCTCAAATCGGTCTTGTTTCTACAATGTACACAAGTAGAATATTAATAAATATGAAAAGAGGTATGCTTTATTTCAGCAAATGCACATTCTCTTTTTCTGAAAAAATATTACAGGTTCAGTATGTACATGTATGTAACACTGCTTAAAACATTACAAGCATTTTTTCTAACTGAAATGAATATTCTGCATTCTGATATCGAATGACCTTGATTTCGAAAGATGAAATTTGAGTTCAGTACACCTCACTGGTGTACTTCTGAAAATTTTAAGTATCTGTTAGTTGCTTTCTTTTAAACATTTGTTTGACTTCATAACATGACCTTTTACACATTAGACTATGGGCAACACATGTAACAGTATAATGGTTTGGACCATGGATATCAGCCAGGATAGCTCAGTCAGCAAAGCGCCTAACTAGTGATGCAGGGATCCTGGGTTTGATTCCTGGTCTAGCCATACATCTCCTTTCCTGTTACAGCAGTTTGAAATCACTCCAAACAAGAATTACAAAGTTATACAGTAGCTTGGACTTCTTTCAGCATCTCATTGTCCTGTGACCTTAACCTTTGTTAATCTGTGACCTTTACCTTAGTAAAGGTAATACTTATGCATTGAAATGAATATATTTCACAAATACCAATCTAATAATTTTATTTGTTACTATCCCTTTCACACTTCTTATTTTCCTCAATAATAATGGACAAGAACACAAATTGCCACAAACTGTGACAGACAAGACATGCTTGTACAATCTGATACTGTATGTTCATTTCCCACTGGGGATGGGCAATTGGGTAACAGTCAATGGTATTATTTTAATTTTTTCACATGCACAATGTACCTCGATTATTTGAAATAAATGTGAAAACATACATCTTTGTCCATCTTCTTTTTCTTTGATGTTAGCTTTTCAACATTACTTTCAAACTGATCTAGCTGAATATTCAAGTTGTCAATGGTTTGCTGAAAGGAATGAAATTTTAGGCATTAAAATCCCTAATACAAAAAAGGCCTACAGTAGAAAGTTATTCATAATAAGAACAAATGACCCCACACTGTTCTGGTCACTTTGTTTATGTCCATTAATTTATTCTTAACCAATCATGCGAAGTAAAAATATAGACGTGTATAGATAATCTTAAACAAACTGAATGTTTACCTTCAGGGCTCTGTAATTTTTAACTAACTAGTCCTTTCAGATATACAGCAAGGACAAACTTAGGGGGAAATTTGGACGAAATAGTTGTCCTGACGCTTTGCCAGATTTTCAATAGAGAGAGAAGTTTTAGTTGCCTTACTTTTTTCATTTTCTATCATAAAATAACCCTACTCAAGTTAGTTACAGAAGAAATGTTATAAATAGTCTCCCATAAAGGAATCATCATGTCATTTTCATGTGTGTGTTTAAAGTCATTTACTGTTCTGTTGCAGAAGCATCAAGTCTTCCTGATTGTTCTGTCTGGCTAACTTGCTTTGAGGGAGAAGAGAAGTTGCCCTAAATTTTGGGTCTACGTTGGTCCCTGATACAGTTCCATAAAAGCTTTTCAAGTGGCCAAAATTACCTTTCATTAACTAATTTTTTTTAAAATATGATTTCTGTCAACATCACATACTAATTTATGAAGACTTTGGCAGAAGTGCATGTGTATGAATTCTTTTACTTATACAATGAAAATGACTAAAGTCACTAATAACTGGTATTTCCTGTGCAAATTTGCTGTAAATGATAATGCCTATGTCTTTAATTTTTTTTATATACATGTTTTAAATACTTTGAAACACATACATCATGTACGTAAATAAATTAACTCTGACATGCAGCTATCTACATCATGCTGATACTAACCGAAAGCCAGTTTGTCATTTCCGACTTTTCCTTAGCTGCTGGGTTGAGCTTTGCAGCAGCTCCTAATCCCTCTTTTGAATAAGCCTTTGTCTTGGTTTCCCTTTCAACTACTTTAAATCTTTCCATTTGCTATAAAAAAAACATTTTGATTGACATCATCAAATTGTGATGGATAAGTACATGTATGTCAATTTTTCTCCTCACTATTCGTGTACATGGATTAAAATCAATCAATTAATAATTCAGATAAATATTACAGTCTTCTATATTACCGTCTCAATGAGTTTCCTATTTTCCACCAGACACCTCTTGTCTTTGATGTCACTGCTTGCACACCATGTTTTGATCTGGTCACGTAGACGCTGAAAAAAAAGTCAATCACCAAATGAAACCAGTTTTCCAATCAGTAAAACCTAATAGAAGTCATCAATATTTCCAAATTTTGCCACTTTTTAGATGAAAAATTCCCAATTGAAAGGGTACAGGACTGTACCAAAAGAGTCAATTAAACCCCCGTCTCCAATACCTGCAGTTTTTTAATTTCTCTCTTGAGATCTGCTTCATACTTCTCCTTTTGATTTGTGTTTGCTGCATTGTGCACCTACAAAATGAAGATCCTTAAATTGAAACAATAGTTTTATTTAAGCTTTATAATGAAAATCATTCTCTTTAAAAACTCTGCAAGTGTTGGTCTTTATAGCTTACCTTTTGCCAGATGTCTTCAAATGACTCTACCCCCTCCGTTACTTTTTTGAGGCATCTGTCAATTTCACCTTCAAAAACAAAACTTAAAATAAATTTTCTATGGAAAGGTATAATACCTAGTCTTGTAAAGTAAGTAAGAGAAAGAAAATAATTGTCAGAGAATGAGATTATTTTCATCTCCCTTTCTTAACCAATCCATAGTTAACTTATTTCAGTACTATAATGAGCGAAAACAAGGTGGAAAAAAATCTCTGTGATGGTAGCAGATATTTACCCAAATCAGTTAGGGTGAATTCACCATGCATCGGACACCCTTGCACTTCAACAAGTTCTAGCGACATCGCTACCGACCGAATATTATCAAAATGGAACTTAACATGTAGTATGTGCCCAATCGTGCCCTATTTATTGAGAAAATATCATCAAAAACCGATTTTTTCGAAATAAGTCAGAATTCCCCATGGATTGGACAATATTCACCATGCATCGGACATACGATATTTAAACCAGAAAAAATATCATACCTTGATCTTGGTGCTTTAAAACTAGTGATATCGAAACATTTTTATCTTTTATTTAAAAATTAACCTTCTAATTAAATTTGAATGACTATTTCGATCCACAAATATGAAGAGATTTTAGTTGCATCACATCGCCTTAGAAAGGCTTTACAATGAGTAATATGGCAACTCGCGCCTTTGTCTCGTGGGTTATAATCATCTAGTTTAAAGAAATAAATTGAGTCCACTTCTAGTCATCACATATCGATAATTTGTATTTTCACTGAAAATTTAGAGTTTCTATTTTCTATTTCTGTTAAAAAAACAGCTGTCATTTGGGTTTTACATGAAAATGGAAGTGATTACCCATGCATCGGAAAGTGTCCGATGCATGGTTAATTTGTGTCCGATGTACTGTGAAATAAACATACAAGTTAAAAACTACTCTAAAATATATTATACAAACATTGAAGTAAAATTTTTGAAAAGTTTCTGTAATATTATAAATCATTGGCAAATTTTACCAAGGTCCGCCCCTTTCCGTTGACGTCTATTTAAAAGAACGACAACTTTAAAAATTGCAAAATCGTAAAATTCTGGTTACTCCCCTTTGATGATGCAAAATATGATGTAATTTCAAGGCCATTCTTGTGGTATTTTTATCACAACATGAAAATAAAAATCAACATCATTAAAAAATTTAATTCTTCTTCTTTAAGACAGAAACAAGTAAAAACACGGGGAGACTCAGGTTCAATTAAAGTTTATTGCTTGAAGTTGTCCGAAGCAAGGTATGTGTCCGATGCATGGTTAATTCACCCTACTGTAATTTTACCATTACATACTCTCTGATCTGAAGCTGAGTCTTTCTACACCCCATAGTGTAACATAAAATATTAATAGTTGACACTATTGAACATTACACTCTTTGGAACAACAAAGTCATCTAGGACTAAGTAAAAATTTTTAACAATAAAAATTGAATATGTTAAATGATCAGACATACTTCCATACTAAGAGAGCTTCCATGTTTGTTCAAACAAATCAGTTGCATAAGGGAAAAATTCGAAAGAAATTATTATAGAGCCATACAATTAACCTTATCATTCACTTTTAAAAGAGGCCTGACAAAATATGTCATTATTTCAATGATTCCCTTTGCAAAATGTCTTCAAGTCCTCATTATCATTAGTGATGGCACATCAATCTTAGTCCATTCCATTGTCAACAGCTTACACTCAAATCCATCATAACATATTCAGCCACTATTCCACAAAACCTCCTCAATATGCATATTTTCTTTTACTGAAACTTCATAAAGAAGTTTTTTAACACTTAATGTTATAAAACACACTACATGGATATATTCTCCTTGTTTTGCATTCATCTAGACAACTCTTATTTTGGAATGCCTTGTCATAAAAAGTCAAAGGAATAACCGACACAAATCTGATTATCAGCACATGTCATATCTAATTGTTGCCATTTGAAAAAAAAAAAATGCATGACCTCATGCCAATAACTGCAAGGATGTTTATAACATACATATTGTGAATAATAAAATTGCACTTCTTTCCTACATGCATACGGGTGATATACAGTATATATGCAGAAAATTTTCTGGATCATTCATATTTGCAAACTTCAATGCATTCTTCATCTAATGATGCTTAAAGAACAAAGATAACGAGGAAAACTTGCGAAAATCAAAGAAGGGCATTTGTTGAGTCGCATGTTTCCTCACCTTGTAGCTTCCGCCTATCAGCCATAGCTATAAGTATTCGTAGAAAAATGATAGAAGCATGCTACGATTATAATTTGGTACCAATTCAATGCCCGTCAGGTACCAAATTGATCTCGCGAAGTAATGTTTAAATATTCCAAAAGTATCCAAAATGGCTTCTTTTCTCGAAAACTGTTCTTATCACCACCATTAGATATCAATGTTTTTAAAAAAATAGTTCTTTGTTCCGTCGCAATAAACTTTAATTTTAATGGAATTAAGAAAATAAAAGTAAAGAAATTGTATATTGTTTAATTAAGTCGTAACATATCTGATGATAATTTTTTTAGTATTTTGATTTCTTGCTTCTTTATAATTTGGACTAATTTCTTGCCCAACGATATCGTGGGAACTATTTATGGAAGTCGTCGCAGGTGATTGTGGGACAGTTTGTTTACGCATGTGTTGGAAACATGCATTTCCGATTGCCCTGACAAGTTGAAGGAAATTTGTTTTTTTGCATTCTAATGATGCTGTAAAAAAATTATGAACGTGAGTTATCATAAAATGTCAAATGTTTTATAAACAAATAACCCAGCTGACAATTTTCTATGTTTATCACTTGATCTATATTGTGTAGTCTCGGATGCATATCTGAAAATGATTTGTTTACATACATTTAATCTGCATGAGTCAGTTAAAATATTAAAGTGATTTGGTTTTTTTCTCATGTGTGCATCACATCAATTGCCTGGATCCTTTTAAATCATGTAAACTGTAATGTTGCACACACCACATAGGGGAGAGAAGATGAATTGTTCGGCTCAATTTATGGATTGAAGAATCTTTTTTTTTCTTTGATAGAGGTACTTCAACATGTTCTGCAAATAATGCTATATATACAAGTACTCTGTTCTTGTATTCACTTCATAAAACCATGTACAAAGTTATTTTGGTAATAAAAATAAAAAAGTTAATTTGTATTCCAGAGACCTAGGCATGTTATTTAATTATATGCAGTACGTTTGTAAAGAAATTACAAGTGCATCCAGTGCCCAGCATGGCATTAATAAATAAAAATAGTGATCAGGGCTTCATAATGAAAGCTGGAAAAAATTCATGTGCAATAATCATATCTGATAATTTTTTCCCCAAAATGTTGCTTGAAAATGAAATGTTCTGCAGTTTTGTTTCTTCAGCTAATGCATATACATGTACCAGTATATATGATTGTCAGAGGTTTTAGACTAATACTACTGGCTCACACAGAAGTGGAACACTTTTTTAGTATTTATCCCATACAATTTTTTGCGTGATGGCCTAGGGAGATTGAACATAAGTTGAACTCCTGAAAATGATTAATGGTCATAGGAGAGACCTAGACAAATTAAACCACATGTGATTATGCTGGGATTTGGAAAAAAAAACCCCAGTGAAATCAATCATAGGTTTCCAATGATAAAGAGTCTTGTGTCTGGAACAGTAGTCTGAAGAATATAGGAAAGAGATACAGCTCCTTGCATACCCCCCCCCCCCCCCCAAATACAATTTCTTTTTTACTTTTTTTCACTCTCTATAATCCTAGTATTAAGTTCAGATGCGTGTATCTGCATCAATGAATATTTTTCTTCACATTTAAGTTTTTCACATTTGAATACAACTACACTATGTACCAGTGATGAAAATAAGATTTTTTTGGATTAAACTCATTTTGGCAGTTTATACAGGAAAAGTTGTTCATTGGAGAATTTGAGAGGAATGTTGTACAAAAATAATTTGTTAGGAGCCATGGTTAGTAGCATTCAGAGGTGGCAGTGTATAAATACTAAGCTAATTTAGCTTTTTGAGTTGTGTTCATCTTTTTTACTACTTATATATTTGCAATTTTTTGTATGAATGGATTGTAGCTCTCTTACTGTTCTTCAAAAAAAATCCAGATCTTTAAGTTGCTCATTATGACATCTTCAGAGCTCAAAGAAAATGTGAAAGGTGAGGGACGCAATTCCACTCTTTGTTAGACATGCTTTCCATAAATAATTAGTATTTCTTTGTTTTATTTCAGAATGTCAGCTAGAAGTCATGGAGATGATTTGAGTCTCACTGGCTCTCAGATATCAACAAGATCATCTCTGAAGAAATCCTCCTCAGCACGTCAGCTGAATCGCCCCAGCTCTGCATCAAGTGTAAAAACACAACTGGGGGTATGAAAATGTCTATTGATATCTTATAATTTTAGATTTGTAATAATTTATTTAAAAAAAAGCTACTTTCTGGCCTTGATTTTGTTTAAGGATGTTACAGGACACATTTTTTTTTTATTTGTCTCAGTATTAAATGTTTTATTGAATTGATGTCAATTACTGCAATTATACTGATTTAATTTCTTCTCAGAATTTGAAATGTTATTTATCATTTTAGGATGGAGCTAAATCTGAGAGTGTTAAAAGAAATACATTTCAAGGTAAAAAAAAAAAATGTAGAATGCTTGAAAATCTGTATGAGATTATCACAAAAGTGTTGCAATTTTGATCAGTGAATTAACAAGGAAATGTGCTTAAAAGTATACAAAACAATCAATTTCACATTGACTGTTATTTTTGTTCTTCTTGAAATTATTCACATACCCTTCTCTTTGATTGTTTTGTAGGTCAGGGTAATATAAGCCAGAGGAGTGATTTATCTTCAGTGAGTAAAAAAAGTACGGGAAAAGGAAAGTCACCAGGGTAAATAATAGTTCTTGTCATTGTACTGAGAATATATAATACATTTAATGATTTTACACAGTGATTAAATTAAAAGTTATATACAGTCAAATTATTGTCTGTAATTAATAATCATAGTCATCCAAACTACAAGTTTGATATGACTGATTCATCTTTCTATGGATGTTAATTTTTTGTGAACTAGAGAGGACTTCCTGGCTTTGTTTGAAAGCTCAATTCAACCAAAGATAAAAGCACCTGCTGCAAAGTCCAAAAAGCCTGGACCCAATGCTGTCAAAGTTTTATGGCAGCAACCCGTAAGTACCTAGACTCATAGAATACCATTTTTGATCAACTAAAACATGCTACAACTCAAACATGCTGAAGTGGTTTAAAGTATTTGTCTTTTATAATACATTTTTGTATTTCAATTGCAGCCAAAGAAATCTCCGTCTGATATTGGAATGAATGGAGATGGTAATATTTCTCCAAGTCCTGTACAAAATGTATTCCAGCGACACACATATCGCAGCACTGATGACGAATCAGATGAAGATATTCTGTCTTCTAGCTATAGCAAAATTCAAGCATTACAGCAGCTTCAAGCTCAAAAACAGAAACCTCCCTCTCCAGGTGACATTTTAGGAAATCTTGATGCCCTCGTGAGAATTAAGTCACCAACAGGAAATAAAGACATTAGTGATGATGTGACTGGAATTCACAAACAGAACGTCCCTAGTTCCAAATCAAGCAGTGTAACAAGGGCTTCTAAAGGTGCTAATAACTCTGTGCCATCATCTAGTGGAATTGCAAATAACATGGTGGTGAAAGGTAAATCACCAAGGACCTCTTTTACCTCCATAGAAAACTCCTATCAGAACATTAAACATAAAATGCCAGTTAACCAGGTGAAAGAAAGGCACATCAATAGTGGTGCTAGCAACACTCAGACTTCTGTAGGTAGAAATATAGCTGAGGACTACATACAAACATTAAACTCTGCTGCTACTAAAATTCAGCGCTATTACCGTAAATATCGACAGAAAAACGTTAGTGCCACTGGTGATAGTGCACGACAGAAGGCAGGTGCTGCTGCTTTGAAACGTCTCATGCAGCAGAAAAGACAAGAGGTACGGGACAGTCATAACAAACTGGACTTATCTTTACTGTCTGAAGAAGATTCAGAGAAAAAGAAGATAGAGGACAGGAAAAAGACTCGTGAGGAGAAGGCACGGCAGGCGAGGTTACAAGCCATCCAGGTATTTAGTTACTTAATTGCCTTACCCAAAAAAAAAAAGAATACAGAGTGCCCTACATTATATGTGGTAGGTCAGGCAAAAGTAATTTTTAGATTTAATTTTGATGCAGACAGTTAGCTTAGTTAGACAATGAAGCAGTCAATTTAGTTTTATTTTCAAAGCTATTCTTATTAAAAGACTCTAAGCAAATTCTACAAAATTAATGATATATCAGGTAACTAAGTCTCCGTAATACAGGTAACTCTTGATGGCTCGAACTTCGATCTCTCGAACTTCTTGATTGCTCGAAGTGAGTCTCCGGTCCCGAATTTTTCCCCTATATAACTAAGCAAATTTACTCTTGATTTCTCGAACTCTTGATCTCTCGAAACCCTTGATCCCTCGAAGTCAAAATTCAGTCCCGCTATGCATATTCTATTAGATTTTACCCTCGATAGCTCGAAGTGGCTATGTGTATACAAGGTTATATAATTGGCACCTTTACCTGGACATTTAAATGGCCCCAGGCAGAAGACGCGGGTCTCGAGGAACGGGATGTTTATTCAGGTGACACTTATGCTGCAAGGCGATAATTGATTTATAATTAATCATTTTTGCCTATATGCTATTAAAATAATTATCATCGACTGTCTTACAATGATTCAGAGACGGAATGTCAGTGAAAAGTAGTAATTGATTACAAGACGAAACACTAATTTAATTTTTATTTCGAGTCAGTGTCAAAGTTAAACGAAATATGAAAAAGCATTAACAGCCTCAATGTCAATATGATGACTATTGTTGGACAAATACTTACAGAACTCCGTTCAATGATCATGTTAATATGGATTTATAGTCAATGCTACATGTATGTATGCGACGCGGTAAAATGTCGTTTTCATGTAACGAATGCGTAGTATGATGTCCATATTACAAAGAATAAATAAATATACATGAAATGATTTACATATTTTGCTTTACTCAATTTAATGAAATATTCATCTAAATTACGAAAAAATATCGTTGTTTTATATAAACCACGTGTAAAAGGTTAGCACTGCATGAAAATCATTACATCCGGTAAGACTAATTTTAAAACCTGTCAACAAACCCGGAAAATTCTGGACTCTTGAAAACTCGAACTCTTGATCTCTCGAAGTTTTTCCTTGGTCCCGCGGACTTCGAGGTATCGAGAGTTACCTGTATTCAGTATTCCACTATTTTTCAAAATATGCATGAAGTATAAAGCTAATTATTATCCAATTATAAGGAGTACGTACATAATTATAATCCAAGTTTAAGGAGTACTTTTTGGCACTTGGGGATTTTGTAAAGTATCCAAATAGATAAAAATTACTTTTGCATCCAGAGGGAAAAAGTGTAAAAATACAAATTTTGTCAGTGGTAAGAAATATGAAAATCTTTTCAAATTTGATGACCTTTAGTCTAAAGATCATTAAATTAGTCAAAACACAATATGTTATTATTGCTATTTGTAACTTGTTTGACTTCATGAATATTTGTCCAAGTTTTCACATGTATTACAGTTAAAATGTACTGTTGTAGGATTTGCATAAAAAGCGAGAAGAAAAACGGGAGGAAATCAAACGTAAAGCTGAGGAAGAAGTATCGTATCTACAAGCCAGTGGTAAGATCACCAAAACTCCATACAAAACTAACCTAGGAAAAAAGAAACCAGATAAAACTAAGAAGGAAACTAACAAGGAGAAAGATGACAGTGCTTCTGAGCCTGCTTCCAGTTCACGATCACTGCCTCAGAGTTCTCAGTCCGCCATATCCAGTGCCAGAACTGTTAGTACTCTTAGAGGAGACCAGACAGACTCAGAACTAGAGGTAAAAATGTAACAAGGAAGAAAAAAGTTCTTTTCTGGTTGAGATGTTTGTTTTTATCATAAAAGGACTTGAAGAAATTGAACAGTTAATTTCCATAAAAAAATTATTGCATACAAAATTTTCTTATTGATAATGGGACTCAAAATCATGGCAATTTTAAGGTACAGAATTTTCTGGAAACAGGAGAAATAAGATTTTGTTTTCTATTTAGTCAGCAAGTAATGTGCAGCAGGTGGACACAAATGGTCTGGACAGCAACAGGGAACCAATTCCAGGCAGTGAGGCAGGGACCAAGTCAACCCTGAATGACCTTCTGGAAACTCTGAAAAAACTGGAGGAAGAGGAACACCTGGAACCTTCCAAGCCAGAGAGGAAAAATGCTTGGTGTAAGAGTTGTGTCCCTTAACATCATTGAAGAAAGAAATGTTTATTTTAATTTTTTTATTCAGGTTTTTAATTTGAAATCCTTGTTATTTTAATTATTTCTCTTCAAAAACTTAAATATTAGAAATTGATTTTTTTTTCTGTCTGATTACAAAAGTTGAAAAGACTTGCAGGAGCAATATGAAATTTTGAAGAAAAAAATTATATGAAGAAGTTGAAACTGTTTTCATTCAAAATGATTTTTTTTTCTTATTTCTTATCCTTGTTTTTCAGTGGATGAGATTGACAAGGAACTAGATAATAGTAATCGTCTAACTGAGGATCGCTTAAGGGAGCTTGGTCAGTCCAAAGATGGTCCAAGTCACAAAGAAAGTTACCTCTCTGATGACAAACTTCGCAGTATCATGTCCTTTCTAGATGAGGTGCAAGTGTCTGACAGAATTAGTGCTGTAGAACAGGTACCAATAGAAGTTTTTTTTTGTGAAGATAGACAATACTGTTGACTAAGTCTAAAGATACAGATAAATAACATAGCAAAATTGTACAGCAGAGCATGCCATTGATGTGTTTAATAAGCC